TACTCAAATTAAAGGTCTCAATGAGTGTAACATCGGGATGAGCTTATATTTTAAAAAATGTCAATAGTTCACAAGATACAAGGTCATTTCTTAATTATTTTTGTTACATTGCACTATAATTTCTTAACAATTGACATTTTTAAAGATATAAGCTCATCCCGATGTTACACTCATCAAGAGCTTTCATTTGAGTACCCACATGCATTTTTAATATATTTTTCATATATAAATATATAAAATATATGAAAAATTTATGTGGGTACTCAAATGACAGGTATTGATGAGTGTAACATCGGGATGAGCTTATATCTTTAAAAACTTCAATAGTTTACAAGATACAAAGTCATTTCTTAATTATCTATAAAAAATTAAAAACACTAACTCTAATTAATTCCTGGGGAGTGATTCGATATAACTTCAAGTCCTTACTGAGTCTCTCCATGATACATTTAAATTCATGCTTAGCGTCGACTTTAGAAGACTTGGTTTTAATTCTGTGCTTGGCCCAACTGAGCATCGCCTCGAATTTTTTAATTTCAACAACTTCTAACCCGCGGCACATTATTGTCTGGACCATGCTCTCGCTGAGGGTGAGAAAATGGGGACTCTGGAAGAGTTGGTACGCCCGAGTCTCCACGAACGCGAGGATCATGTTCACCAGCTCCGAGGCGGAGGTGTAGCGCCAGTAGTAATTTTCCAGGGCACAGAGCATCACGCAAACTATCTCAATCCTGAGGAACTGCTTGGCGTGGTGAAAGCAGGCCTGGAGCAAGTCCGGGAGGTCGTAGTGCTCTGCGGCGCAAATTAATCCTGGAATGTTGCTGCAGGTCAAAGGACAAGACCCCGTGTGCAAGTAGTCTAACAAAATTCCAAAAGTTTCGGGGTCAAACTCAATTATGTCAAACTAAAAAAAAATTAAAAAACAATATTAATAAATATCTTTTAATAAAAAATTAATGATAATTATTATTGATATTAATGATAAATTTACTTCAGTTTGAGCCAATTTAGCACGGTCGACTTTCTGCGCGTCAGCACAAACACTCAGTCGAGGAACTGCTAGTGACTGGGCAGCTTTTTCCTTTTCTTTTGCTTCTTTGTCTGATAAAAGATAAATAATTTATTTTTTTTATTTATTTTCCAAGTCAGCAAAAAACAATTTTATTGTGTAATTTTTTTTAATCAATTAAAGATAAGACATATTTTTTAGAAGATAATTTTTTGTAAAATATCAAATTTTTATATTTTTATATTTTTATATACAAAATTTTATTATTTTATTAATCTTTATTATTATTGTAACAATTTTGAAAATTAATTTCTTTTTTTCCCCTAAAAAGATTAAATTGAAAATAAACCCGCCATTTTTACGGGATTTTATTTCCATTTTTAGACCTTGTTTTAAGAAGCAAAATTTTTTGTTATCATTTAAAACAAAAAATTTACTTAATAATAATTATTACAAAGTAAAAATAAAATCCTAGTGATAAAAAATCGATTAATCAATTAATTAAAAGATAATCTATAGTATCAATTCAATGTTCTTGAAGTAATAGACGAAGTACTTTAGATAACAGGTGTAATTTAATAAAAAATAGTTCATAATTTAGTGATTCAGTAACTTAAAATTTTATTGTTGTCAATTCATTGACATAATCAAATATTTATCTGATTTTTCTATGACGTCTGATGTTTAATGAGTTATGTGTAATATGTATTTAATTAGATAATAATACAATAGTGAGATAAGTATAATAAGTCGTGTGTAGATTATCCAAGTCAGTCGCGATAAACTCGTACAGTAAATTGGATCGATTTAACAAAAAAGATGATCATTAACTGGTGGAAGGCAATAATTGTTTTGGGATTTATCGCGGGAATCAATTGTAAGGTGAGATATTTAAACGGTAAAAATGAAATAGTAGAAACGAATGTGAAGAAAATATGTGGGACAGGTTTATTGAACGGCGAGAAAACTAACACCGAATTATTCCCGTGGATGGTCAATATTTATGTGATAGTAAACACACCTGACCGTAGAATACGCTCGACATCGTATTTTTATGGTACTATTATACATCCGAAGGCTGTTATCACTCTGGCCAGCTTTACGCCGAGGTAAATAATTACTTTTCTTTTGTAATTAGACTTTAAATTTATTATTAATGATTTTTATTGTTATTTTTTAAATTATTATTTATTTATTATTATTATTATTATTATTATTATTATTATTAAATGTTTTTTTTAATTTTTCATATTTTAAAAAATTCTTTTGTAATTAATTTTTAATGCTAAATTTTAATAATAATAATAATAATAATAATAATAATAATAAAATTGTCTAAATTTTTTAGTGAGCCTGCAAATTTAATAGTAAGTACCTCAACAGAAGTCGAAAAAAAATACCAAGAACGAACTGTAGCAAAAATTTACAAGCATAAAAATTACGAAAGCAAAATATTCATGGCGACTGCTCATGACATAAATGCATATGATGTTGCAATTTTAATTCTTCTCACCCCGTTTTACTTCAACGGGTTAATAAATTCCATTTGTTTGCCCACTAAGTATTCCGAGATCGATAGTAACAATTGTCACTCGCTTCACGCAACGATTGACGGTAAAAATTAATGATCCCAAATTTTAACAAGGCTTTAATTGTTAAAAAATTGGTCGTAATTTTAGGTTTGGAAGCTATTGAAATGAAAAGAAGTAAACATAAATTGATAGCCACAGAAAAATGCCAAGATTTTGATGATTTTGATAAATTAAGTGTCTTTTATGATAGTTTCACTTGCAGTGAGACTGAAAGTTACCAAAAAAGTCTCTGTAGCGTAAGTATTTTTGATATTTTTATTTTTGTGCTTCAATTTTACGGTAAATTTGATATTTTTTATTTTTATAAAAACATCTGACCATTTATTTGGTATTTTTGAAAAATAATTTTAAAAAAATTGCAGTTTTTGTAATTGTCAGATGCAAAATATATTATTTATTATTTTAATTTTATAGTTTGGAAATGCAGTCCCACTTATTTGTAAAAACAAAAATTCATTTAATTATTATCTCTCTGGAATTTCAATAAAAAGATGTAATAATAAATCAAACGTGACGCTCAACGCAAATATAGTCCATGTGTCTCATTGGATAAGAGACGTATTAACAGTAGAACACTTGAGTCATTAATAATAAGCAATAATTGTTAATTTGTTAAAAAAAAAAAAGAATGATCAATATTAAATTTAAATTGATTTTTTAATTTAAAATTTCTCTCTAGACCTTTAGTAGAATTTTTGTAATTAATAATTACTAAAAATAACTTACTACTGCAGTCTTGAGAAGATGTCCACCTTTTCCTGTCCTCAACTTGTAGCGTATTGCTCCCGTGTTTCCTTATACTTCTCCCCCAGCCGGCGGTGATGGTCCCGAGCCTCGAAAACGCTCTTTTTACCATCGGCGACGAGGGCACACTTTTGGGCCTAAACAGATTACAGCCAGTATCTCACAGAAACGGTTAAACGGCACCTCGGGGTACGGAGAATATTTTTTAAAAATTGGGGATTTAAATTAGGGAAAGGATGTTTTAAAACAGTCATTAGAATTTTTTAAAAAATTTAAGGAGTATTCTAGAGTAGAGTTCAACTTTAGAATTCTTTTTAAAGCTTAAAAAAATTAATAAATAATTTTTTATAAATTTTATAAATTTCTAGACTAAAATACCCTTTAATTAAAAAACATGCAGTGCAATGGACGGGACAGGATGTGCCGTATAAAATTTGTTAATAATAAAAAACTATCAGTACTATGCAATTAAATTTTCTCTTAAATCTCACCGTCAATTTTAATTAAAAAAAAAACGAGCAATTTCACCAGATGAAGAAAACTTAACCAATTAATTAAACTTGAAATTTTAATTCACATCCCGAGTGTTTGATTGGATTAGAAACTAAATTACAAAAGTATCGAGACGTAGAAAGTAATTGAAAGAATCAATTTATAAGTTATATTTCTCGATAAATAAATAAAAAGTAGTTACAATCATAGTAAGACGGTGAGATAAAAAAGAAAACAATAGAAGGAAGAGTATACCTAGGGCTTTCAATGTCAGGAACTTGTAAAAAGTTTGAGCTCTTTGGTTTCTGTGGACTGAGTAAAGTTGGCGCAGGTCTCGCAAGTAGCTCCGCAACGGGGACTTGAGGACTGCCAAACCCGGTTTGGATTCCGTACAGCATTTCTTGGAATACCCTGAAGGATAAAGTTTACTTTTTCTATTTAATTAATCTCACAAACTTTATCAACTTGTCTGTGTTCTTCTCTGTCTTCTGTACTCAAGTTTATCCGAAGAACAATAACAAAAAGTTTGGTAAATTTAAAAGTGCACGCCTCATACCGCTCATGTAATTTATAATTAATAATTACTAAATTTTAAAACATAAAAGCGCTTTTATTAATTTTTTTTCATTTTATAGAAAAAAAAAATCGTGCTTTTATTTTAGATTCAAATATTTTGTGGCATATTTTTCTTTTATTAATAAAAATTAAACGACGCCGAATTATACAGCCATATTTAATACGAGATTAGCCAATATAATTCTGAAGCTAATAAAAGAAATCCGGTCTCAATTCGTCGATTTTTTTGGGAGTTATCGTGTTTGCATGCACAGAAAAAAAATTAAATTAAATCAAGAAGATAATTTAAAATTTTTTATATTGTCTTAATTTGAATAGAAAAATTCTTAAACTCAGAAATTTTTTTTTTATTTAAATAAATTTTACTTGATTCAAAAATTTCTCTCCTAATTTAAGTTAATTTATATTTTTTCGTGCACGTTAAATTTTTTTCAAACAGTTTTTTTTAGTATTAATATTTAATTAATTGAGTATTAATATTTAATTTTTTTTTTTTTTAGAAAATATCGGATTATTTAGAGTTTTTTAATTATTAATAATTAATAAAAAAAAACTAACCTACTGCGAACTCCAAGGATCGCACGCACACCAATAAACCTAACTTTCTGCTTCTGCTGCCCGGGAACTAGAAAAGCAACATCGAAGAGGTTCGCGTGTAACTGAATGTTATCCGCATTGTTTAGGAAGACTCTCGTGAAATCTTTAGCCAGCTGATCGTAGTCCTCGAACTGGTCTCTCACTGAGTCCAGGAGCGGCGAGGACGGTCTCATGTGGCCGATAGGTCGCCAGGATCCTCGGCGGTAAGGCTTAGGAATTTGCCCGGTTTCCGCGTGGTTCGCTAGATTAGCTACTATGTCCTCGAGCATCTGGCTTCGGGTTCGCTCTTGCATTCGCGCGAATTTCGGAGCTGAGTAACTTGCGCGCTCTCCGTTTACTATTTTTGTTAAAATCCATTCGCGGAACATTTGACCTGAAAGATTTTTTTATTTAATTGAAATAAAATTAATTTAATTTCAATTAAAAAAAACTATTAATTTTTTATAATGAAATATTTTTAATTAATTTATACATAATTAGATAAAATATTAAAAAAAAATTTTTTTGCATAAATTTTAAAGTAAAAATTTAATTAATAAACCGATCTATACATTATTTATATTATTAAGAGAATGACCCTGTATCTCGTAAATTATTGACATTTTTAAAGATATAAGCTCATCCGGATGTTACACTCATCAAAAGCTTTCATTTGAGTACCCACATCAATTTTTCATATATTTTATATATTTATATATATTATATATATGTATATATGAAAAATATATCTATATATCAAAATGCATGTGGGTACCGTCAATATTTAAAAAAAGTACAGTGCAATTGAACAAAAGTCATTATTTAATAAAACAAAATTTTATTTATTTATAATTCACAAGTCACGGCAGTCACATTAATCATTAAAATTCACGAAAAATAATAAATAAAATTTAAATTTTGAATATGAATTTTTGACACCTTTAGACAGATAATTATTAAACTTTAAAAAATACATAAAAATATATCTCATAGATATTATAGTTAAAAAAATCTAGAGGCAAATTTATCAGCGTGTTATTTCTCAAAAAAAAAAAAAATTACCCGCGAATTTTTCTTTATAAATGAAATAAATAGTCTAAATATATTAAAGCAACCTTTCTCAAAGACACTTTGCTCCCACAAATAGGGTTTGTAAGCGCCGACTTCATCTCTGGTGACAACAGAGACCTCGTATCTCGTAATTTTCCTCTTTATTCTCGGACTGACACGCACGATGATAAAAGTGTGGAGGAAATGAGATTTTATACAAGCGGGGCTGAATTGTGTATTGTCCGCCTCAAGGAACACCACGCAGACGATATCGTTGCCGATGTGTCGCTTCCTTTGAAGCTGGAAATTCAAATTACCGCACAAAGTATGAAAAATAAAGTATAAAATTTCCATGCATTAATAATGAGAGAGAAACACTAACAACAACAACAATAACAATAATGATCGAAATAGAAGATACCTTTTGAGGATCGTGTTTTTCGTAAGGCAGTAGAGTAGAGACGTGGAACATGATCTCGATGTTACGCCAGTTAGTGTAGACCGAGTAGAGACCGGTGAGGTCATGGACGGTGTCGAGACCGCCTTTGTACTTGTCAAAGCCCTTCAGCCGGATCTTGTCCCCGAGAATCTGAAGGAACTCCTCGAAAAAAGGGGAGCTGTCGTTGTTGTCGAGGATCTCTTCCTCCGTATACTGGCCTTCTTGCACATATATCACTCCGACTTTAAGCTCGGACTTTATGAACACTTGATCCAGCTTCAGCAGCTCCTCCGGAGTATCTGGCAACTGTCCCAGTGTCAATGCCGGATTTATGTTCACTTCTTTGCCTAGGCTTTTTACTACTTCTTCGCGGTTATATCTGTATTTTTTAAATATTTATTTCAAATTTATTAATTTTTTAATTCTTAAAAATTCATTTAAGTTTGAAATAAATTTTTTTTTTAGTTAAAATTGTTGATTGATTAAATTTTTATTTACTTTAAAAAATTTTTTATAGTAATTTATCTTTTTTTCTTTAGCACAGAAATAAGAAAAGAGAAATTTTGTGATAAACTTTCATTTTTGAAATATAAGGAAATTTAACTTACTCCTCTAATAAGAACGTATGTAGGACAAGACTACAAGGATCTGTGTAATGAAACAAATATTTTACCTTCTATATAAAAAGAAAAAACTTAATACACATAAATTACATTTTTTTTTAATAACAAATTAACACATCTTTCAAATTGTCAGTCAGAAAAATTTTGTTCCCAAGATAGTCATATGATAAAATTGTTTTCTTTAGTCAAATTTAGTGTAATTGCAAAGGGCTTGACTTAAGATTGACTTAAATTTGTACCTTTTCAAGGTTTCTTATCATTCTCACCGTCAATTTATTATGACGCAAGTATTTAGGCGGCATTCGAAAATATCTCTAGTTACATAATTAAGAAATGACCTTGTATCTTGTGAACTATTGACATTTTTAAAGATATAAGCTCATCCCGACACTACATTCATCAAGACTTTTCATTTGAGTACTCACATCAATTTTTCATATATTTCATATATTTATATATATTATATATATGTATATATAAAAAATATATCAAAACTGCATGTGAGTACTCAAATGAAAGCTCTTGATGATTGCAATATCAGGATGAGCTTATATCTTTAAAAACATCAATATTTAAGAAAGTACAGTGCACTTTAACCAAAATCATTATTTAATAAAGCAAAATTTATTTATTTATTGTTCACAAGTCACATAGTGACTGCACGGTTGCTAGTTTTTATGAAATAAATTTTTAAAATGTCTAGTATCATGAATTTTATCAAAAATCCCTCAAAAATAATTATTTCATATTTTTGAATTTCATAAATTATGAAAGCTCTCAATTACAAGTTAATTATTCAAAGCTTCAATAATTACCCACTTAATTTTCAATAATGTAATAAAAAAATTCAATGAATATGATAATTGATAATAATTATAATTACCGAGATTAATAATTAATTAATAAATTGAAATAAAATCAATAAAAAAAAAAAATAACAAGTACCGTCGAACAATTAAAATTGATACCAATAAAATCCCGCATTAATATTCATGATGCATATGATTTTCACGCGGAATAATAATCCCCAAATATTAACATAATTAATAATTAATAAGCGAGTAAAGCTGACCTATCAGCAAAAACGCAGCTGGCAGGGATGAGCCCGTGAACGGTGTAACTGATGGCTCTGACAAGAATCCTAAACTGATCGCGGCCACTGATGGTCTCCTGCTTGATGCTGAGGATCACGGGGCCCAGGTCCTCGTCATTGGTGAAGTAATTCCAGTGCTCGGACCCGTAGAAGTACTTCTCGTAGGTTTCCTGCTCGACGGAGGTCAGCTCAAAGCCCTGGTTCTTCTCCCACTGCTCCTCGATGGTGGTTTTCTTTCGGGGAACATCCTCGTCCTCGAGCTCGTTCTCCTCAAACAGACACAGGTCTCGGCGCTTGTTCATCATTGCGAACTCTGCTTGCTCATCAACTTGCTCGGGATCCGTGAAATCACGGTCGCTCTCGCTCTCGTCCCAAATTGTGTCCGAGGTTATTTGGGGCCGCGAGCACTCGATCCAATATCCTGGGGTCGGGATTAGATTGTGGGGAAATTCTTTACAGAATTCATCTGGAAATTGATCAATAATATTTTTTTATTTTAAAATTTTTAATAATTTTGGGACACAAATTTAGGAAAAAATTAAATAATTATAAATGAAAATTCATTTATAATAAATATTTATTAAAACAGTAAAATATTTATTTTAACAGTTAATTTATGATATTTATTATTAAAATGTTACAATTAAATAATCACACGGAAAAAGAGGAAAACTTAGAGTTTTTAGAGTGAAAAGAGGTTCCTCGTAGAAAAAACTGCAAGTATTACACTTAAAACTGTAATTATTGAGAGTACATCTTGTAATAATGCAATGACAATTGGAAATACCTAATTTTACAACTTCAAATGTATTTTTAGCTGGATGAAAGTTTAAACTAGAAGTTACTTATTATTTTTAAAATTATTTATTGATAATTTAATAGTTAATACCTTAAACTTTAGAAAGTTCGATTTATCGGTGAATTTTTTAGTTTTGTCAGAATAAATGTATTCTTAATTGAAAGAATAACATTTAAAGTGTCAGCTACTAACTATCGGTAATAATAAATATCCTGTGAATTATAACAGCTGAACCTGTAATTCGAGAAACTCTCAAGCTCAATTATCGAAATTAAAATAATTAATACCAACAAATTACAGTGTGAGATATTAAATGTAAAAACGAAATTCAAAAGTCTAAATCTTTTACTATTACAAACTGTTAAAGGTTTTAAATGAAACTTTCATAGTTGCTGTCTCAGAAATAATATAATTTTTACAGATTCTCTAGAGGGCCTTGGTATTAAAATCTCTAAAAAATCCTAGTTAAAAATTGAATTTTTTCCATTAATTTTGCAGGTACAAAAATCAGGCATAGTCTAAAAATCAGTTTATTATATATTTAATAATATTAGTAAAATAAAAATACAAAAAAATTAAAATAAAAAAGATTTATAAAAATAATAACAAAAATATTGTTAAGAAGAAAACAATTATATGAAAATGACGACCCTCGCGACTCTGAAAAGGCCCGTAATTATTTAAAAATATTCATAAGAAAAGTTTTAACCGCGATGGTTATAATTTTAAATTTCCCTGAGTGGAGTAGAATAAAAAGGAAAAGAATAGAACGATAAAGCCTGCATAAAGATCAGGATTAGCATAAAAGAAAGAGCTTTTTTGTCGGTAAGGTTTTACCCTAAGCCCAGTGTTTCCATTGAAGACTTAGGCGCACTAAGTACCGCGTAACACTCAGGACAGTCAAGTCTTGTAAAGACCTGAGTGGACCATGAGAAGCCAACCACTTGTTCCGTAAGACCCTTGATTCCTCTTCCATCTTCTTCTTTTCTTCCTCGTGTTCTTTTGTCTGAAGTGGTGTCGTAGTCAAGTCACTGTAAGGTAGAACACCAAGCTGTTTTTAACAGGGCTCGGTATTCGAACTTAGAGTGAATCGCCAACGACTAGATTTATCTTCATTGCTCCATATAATTTCAATTCTTCATTTATTTATGATCCTTTATTTAATTAATTTGTCTTTTCTTCTAAATTTTATTAATTCATTCCATCTAATATAATTTATTCTTAGGAAAGCTTCTTGTGGTTCATTTTTAAAAAGATTTTTTCCGTATTATTTTGATGTAGATTTCTTTAATAAGAATTATTATCTATATTATTAAGAAATGACCTTGTATCTTGTGAACTATTGACACTTTTAAAGATATAAGCTCACCCTGACATTACACTCATCGAGACCTTTCATTTGAGTACCCACATCAATTTTTCATATATTTATATATATTATATATATATAAATATATGAAAAATATATCAAAAATGCATGAGGGTACTTAAATGACAGCTCTTGATGCGTGTAATATCGAGATGAGTTTATATCTTTGAAAATGTCAATATTTAAGAAAGTACAATACAATTTCTTAATTAAGAAACGACCTTGTATCTTGTGAACTATTGACATTTTTAAAGATATAAGCTCACCCCGACATCACACTTATCGAGAGCTTTCATTTGAGTACCTACATCAATTTTTCATATATTATATATATGTATATATGAAAAATATGTAAAAATGCATGTAGGTACTCAAATGAAAGCTCTTGATGAGTGTAACATCGGGATGAGCTTATATCTTCAAAATATATATATTATATATATGTATATATGAAAAATATATCAAAAATTGATGTGGGTACTCAAATGAAAGCTCCTGATGAGCGTAACAACGAGATGAGCTTATATCTTTAAAAAAGTCAATAGTTAAGATAGTACAGTGCAATTTAATAAAAGTCTCTATTTAATAATGCAAAATTTTATTATTATTATTATTATTATTATTATTATTATTATTATTATTATAAAATAAAGAAATAGTTTATTATTAAATATAAATTTATAATAAGTAACATATAATATAAAATGATGATAATAATAAAGCATATAGTTAAAGCGTTATTGTAGAGTTGTACGAAGTATAAAAGTATAAAGTACAAACCACCTGTGGCACATTGTCTGTGTGTATGAGTATTACTGTAAAAGTATTTTCTCGCTTAACTCCCACAAACTCAAACTCCGACGTCTTTACTCTAAAACTTATACCCTTGGATAGATATTTAAACTGAGAAATGAGTTTTGATATACGCAGTTAGATATAAACTCGGTACTTTAATTTCACGAGCTCTGTTTTGTTGTTTGTTTCCGCTGCTCGTTTTTCTTCGGAACGAAATTTAAAAGTTTTTAAGTCGTTTCGGATGGAAATAATAAAAGTAAATGGGCCAGTAGAGAGGAGGGTAACATTTTATAAGTAAATTTATTTATATGTATATGCATATTATGTACCTGAGCAGGCCTGAGGCGGAAGAGGGAAAATGAGGGTCGTTGAAGACTTTCGCCTGGCCACTGCGCAGCCCAAACTTTGAGGCTTAAAGCTGCGCAATTGCTGCATGAAGTCCGAGCACTCCATCAGCGCGACGTCCGCGAAGTGCAGGTCGCAGAGAATTTGATTTTTGAACCTGAAAAAAATTTTTTAATTTTCAAGATTAATTTTTTTTAATTTTTTATTGAAAAAAATATTTAAAAATTTTTTTCGAGCTTTAAAAAATTTATTTTTTAATAAAATTTTCCTTTACATAACAATTACACAACGAGGTACGTAACTAGACCTCAGATTAAATTTCCTAAGGACAACGGACTTGAATAAATAAAAAAAAAAAATACACAATAAATTAAAAACTGAAAAGAAATAAAAATAAAGGTGTTTGCTCACCGTCTCGCTCTCTTCTGATTGGGTCCCGTGAGATTGAGGCCACAGCTGTTACATCTCAGACACTCCTCGTGATAGTGATTGTTGTCGTAAGGCGGCGACGGTTCTATTGCAAATAAACAAATTACTCCGATCGAATTGTTAAATCTTGAATTTTTATAAATAATTTTCAATTTTATTCTTTATCTTATATCCCTCGGCTATGTTTGATTTATTATTATGTAGCGGAGGACAAGGGTAAGGATTTTTTTTTTATTTGGCTCCTTTAATTCCTCCGGACCTATCAACCGCATACATATCACGGAATTTCATCAACACGCTACGGAATTTCGATATAAACCCGTTATTCGACCGTTCTCTTGAGTATTCCTTCAAAGTACTAATATTTTCAGGCATAAATTATTTTTTTTTTTCTCAATTAAAGGAAAAAAGTTTTAGTGTAAGCATTTATTTTTTATTTTTAATAAATATTTTACGAGGAAAAAATTTACATTTAATTTTCTGTCGAAAAATAATTCATTAAAAATTACGCAAGCTAATTAATTAAAAAAAAATTCTTCTATTAACGTAAAAATATTGAATAAAATTTTTTAAGTAGAACTAGTCAATATTGATCAGCCCCATGGGACGCGATATAATTTAATTATTTGTAGTAACACATTTTTAATGATGCAATTAAAAATTAAATAATTAATTCCCTTTGTGTGGAGATAAAAACGAATAAGGAAGAAGGATGGGCAGATAATTTAAAAATTTTAATGAAACAATTAAACAGAGCCGGGTAGTTATGATTGAGGATAATGAAATGGGTGAAGTTAAATTGGAATAGACGTAGGTTTTAATTAAAAAAAAAAATAATAATAATGATACAGAGGAATAAATATAGAGTGAATTGAACAGCAAGCGAAATAGTGAATATACAAATAGTATTTATTAAATCCGCGGATAGAATAACAGTATATCGATGAAATATTTCTTGGACGTGTGGATGAATAATGATCTCGCTCTGTGCGAAATAATTCAAAAATACACACACATTTGAGCGCTCGATTGTTTTGTTTACTTGTTATTGATACTCGGATTAACTCAATGTTTCGAATGCTGGGAAGAATAAAAAGATCCGACGTGTTTTATTCCTGTACGCTTTATAGGTCATTTTTATACACACTCCAAACAGTCTTTTTTAATTAATAGAAACAAAGTTATAGCACGTTTTATCTCGGAAATTGATGAGCTCTTTTGTTTTAATTACTTTAAGCTATCGATTTGATTTTTATTTTTTTTTTTAAGTGATTTTTACTCAGCTTGGCAATTAGAAATATTTTTAAAAACTAGTTTTTAAAATTTTAAATATTATTTAATAATTTAGAACGATAAAAATTATCTATATTATTTTTTAATTAAAATTATAAATAACACAAGGTATAAAATCAAAATTTAAATTAAAATTCAAAATTAGTTCAATTTAAATTAACTTGAGATTCTTCAAAGCAAACAAATATTAAATAAAAAGGAAAATAATCCTGGAATAAATAAATAAATAATTCAAATTTCTTAGACCCTTAATTAATCAAAAAAACATTTAAAATTCAGGGAGTGCATGAAAAAAATAAGAACAATTAAAACTCTTCATTATTCAACAGTAGAATTATTTTATAGTCAAACAAAAATTTTAACTATCAATTTTTTTTTGTTTATTTAAAAATAGATAAAAAAAAATTGTTGAGTAGAAAAATCAATCTTTAGTCAGACACGAAGAAAAATTAATTTTTTCTTTTTTTAAATAAAAGATTTAAGTTAAAAAGATCAATTCTAAGTAGTAGAATTAATTTTTAGTCAGACAATTTTTTTTTCTACTGATTTTTTGTAATTTTTCAAAAATTTAGAGAAACAATTAAAATTTTCTTTGATTTAATAATAAATACTATTTTTTATTCTCAAACTAAATTTTTTTATCAAAATTTCAAATTTTCTTTAATTAAAAAAAAATGAAAAACTGTTAATTTAAATTAAAAATTATTTTCAGTATTTGTTAACTCTTTAAAAAAATTGCCTCAAAATTCTAACTAAAAATTTTTAAATTCAATTTTTTTCTTGTCTTAAAAACTTCTTTTTCCTCTCAAACATAATAATAATTTATAATTCCTTTCCTTTTAGCTTTAAAATTTTTTTTTAAAACCCTCCTAACTCAATTAATCATCTCTAAGTTTACCTTCTCAAAACCAATCTCCCAAACCTCTCTTCTCCCCCGAAATTTCCATCAAAAGTAACCTAAAAAAATATTTACCTCCCAAAATCAACAACCCAAAAGCTTGGAGCTTAAACAGTAATAAATTGACAGTAAAGGCCGTCTATTAAATAAACTAAGGGTCGATAACAATCAGAACAATCACCGGGTGACACATGAAAGGCTAAATAAAAATAAAAATAGAGAAGGTAGTTAAGTATACCTGCCAGCTAGATAAAGAAACGTCTCTAGCAAGATTGAGTCGAATTGATAGGCTGCCGATCGAATGAGAAGCACGTGGCCTTGGGGTGTGGATCGATGTCGCGAGGATATTTTGCGCATACCTTCCTTATCACCGGCAATACCTTATCACTATCAAAGCCTTAGCATACTCACAATTCCGTCACTCCCATTATCATTTAAATTAACATCAACATTAACATTACATCCGTCTCCTCATTAGTCCCTCCCCCTTTTTCTCCCGCAAAACTTTCTTACTTTACTTTTTACCCCCCATAAAAATTTATTATTTTTATTTTTAATCATTTTTCTCCACAAAAATTCTTCTAAGTTATTTTAAGAATTTTTATTTTTTATTTTTAATCATTTTTCTGCACAAAAAAATTCTTCTAAATTTTTTAATTAGTTATTTTTTATTTTTAATCATTTTTCTGCATAAAAATTCTTTTAAATTTTTTAATTAATTTTTTTTTATTTATTTTTTATCATTTTTTTGCACAAAAAAATTCTTCTACATTTTTGTATTAATTTTTAATCATTTTTCTGCACAAAAAAATTCTATTAAATTTTTTAATTAATTTTTATTTTTAATCATTTTTCTTTACAAAAATTCTTCTAAATTTTTTAATTATCTTTTAATTTTTTATTTTTAAAAAATCACTTGCACTGATAACAGCCGCGATGATACATAATAATAAATAAATAAATAATTCTATCGTCAAATCAATGAAATCTTTAGTAAGGACACCACCCACCGCGTGGTTTAATGAAAAATCGAAGTGTCACTATCATTCTCAAGAGTCTTGTCTGTACACCAGATTAATAAATAACAATAACAGTTGTAGGAATAATAATGACAATATTGAGAGTAATATTGATAATTATGATTATTATTTTAGACACTGATGGGAAAAAAAAAATTTTAAAACAATTTAAAAGTCACGTGTGAGTTTTGGAATAAAAATAAAGCAAGCGGTCGCTATTATTTTTGATAGATTTTTATAATGAATTTAAAGAGTTGGAAAAGACAGAGCGAGACCCGGTTTGGTGGCATGAGGATGTCATACTGACAATGAGGATTGTTGAAAATATAAATGATAGAGGTTTTAGATCTGTTTTTATCAACGACTGCCGTGCAGCGACGTTTGTTTGCGTCAACTACTCGCGCTGGCGCAGATCGGAGAGTGCCAACTGAGTTTGAGGAGCTGCTACTGGGGTTGGCAGCCAGCTTGAGGTGTGGGAGGATAAGGGTTGCAGGCGGGAAGGTTTGAAAGTGTAGGTAGAGATTGTGAGGGTTACCTGTTTGCGTGCCGCTGTCAAAAAAGGTACTCGATGTTTCGACCGTCATCGATTGGAAGGTTCCGTCGGTTATTTGAGCTGAACTGTCTCTTCGGCCGCGGTAACGTTGCACCTTGATGGTAAAATAGTTTTTAGGAAAATTTTTATTTATTTAATAAATTTTAAAAAATCTTTTTTGAATTATTTAAATAATTAGTAGGAAATTTTTTATTTTAAATTATTATTGAGATTTAAATAAAAAAATTTTTTGTTATTTTTAAAATTAAAATTCATTAAAAAAATTTTTTAAAACCTATTTTGTTATTTTTATAATTATTTAAATTTTTTTTAGAAACTTTTATTGAGATTTAAATAGAAAAATTTTTTTTTTGATTATTATTTAAATATTAATATCGAGAAGGAAGTTTAAAGAAAATGAGGTTGACATTTGAAAGAGAGAATTTTATTAAAATAAGATAAACTTACAGTGTCGTCACTTTGAGAACTCTGTCTGCGGAAATTACGACACCTTATCATTTCCTCGGTGGTACTTTGGCGCCTGAATCCCCGGGACATGAGAATTTCTTCTGTAGTAGATTGTCGGCGGATAATTGGCGCGTGTTGAATGCTCCCAAGACCTCGCGCGCAAGGACTCGGGTCTCTTGAGGAGCATGATGAACTGTCTGGTGATCTAGAAGAATTTTTTTGATTAAATATTCACTAATATCAGGGCATAAACGTTTCAAATTTTTATAAGTATGCATTGTTAATATATAAATTATTTATTTTCATTACTTAAAATTAACAATCAAAATTTTTCATAATTTGTATTCAAAAGAATTAAGAAAATTTTATTTTATCTCTGGTGTTTATTTAAGACAAAATTTTTTTTTTTTAGTTAAATTAAATATTTTAAAGATATAAGCTCATCCTGATGTTATACTCATCAAGAGCTTTCATTTGAGTATCCACATCAATTTTTCATATATTTATATATATTATATATATGTATATATGAAAAATATATAAAAAATGCAAGTGGGTACTCAAATGAAAGGTCTTAATGAGTGTAATGTCGGGATGAGCTTATATCTTCAAAAACGTCAATATTTAAAAAAGTACAGTGCAAGTTAACATAATTAAAAAATGAGCTTGTAGTCTTTTGAACTATTGACATTTTTGAAGATATAAGCTCATCCCGATGTTACACTCATCGAGACCTTTCATTTGAGTACCCACATCAATTTTTCATATATTTATATATCATATATATATGTATATATAAAAAATATATCAAAAATGCATGTGGGTACTCAAATGAAAGCTCTTGATGAGTGTAACATCGGGATGAGCTTATATCTTTTAAAACGTCAATAGTTAAGAAAGTACAGTGCAATTAACACAAGTTATTATTTAATAAAGCAAAATTTTATTTATTCATAATTCACAAGTCACGGAACTCATATAGTGACTGCAAAGTTGCTAGTTTTATTTTATTTATTTATTAGGCTAAAAATAAATTAATAAATTTGTATTTAATAATTCCAATAATTATTTTATTTTGATCTTATAGAAATTCGTGTTAAAACTTTATAGCCACAAATAATTCTTGAGAAATAAAAAAGACTCCCCGTCTTTTTATTAATTCTCAGCAGTCGCAAAATGACTCACGTCACAAATTAATATTAGTATTATTAGCTAATTGATTATAATTAAATTATTAATTATAAATACTACCTAGCAGGCCGTCCAATAATAGTAGTTGATTGTCTGCGTAACCTAGAAGGTCTCCTTTGTCTGTTAGGACTAAAGTCTCTTTTCTCAGCAGTATTTCTGTCAGGACTGAGATGACTTTTGGAGTCCCTTCGCCTGGAGTAAGAAGCCGAGTCCGGACTGAGCGAGTCCCGTCTCGCTTTGCGCCCTGAAAGAGTGTTTATTTTTATAACCAATCAATCAATCATAGTTATGATCCTCAAATAGCTTTCTTTCTCGCGATATAAGAAGCAAGAGCCATCACCTCCGTCATCCGGATCGGGCGAGAGCGTAGGCTGGCTGCTGCGTCGCCCCGAGGGCGACTCGTCGATCGTGGCGGCCTGACGCGTCAACCTTGACAGCTTGCTCGAGGAGACCTCCTTCCCCTTGCCGTAGTAGCACTGGGTCGTCGAGTCGCGGCGGGTCGTCAGAAGAGGGTGGTTGGGCGTGTTGTGGACACTGGGGGAGCCCACGGGACTCAGTCCGCCGGACATCGAGGCCCCGGGCAGCGGCAAGTTGTTTAGTGTGGGCGATATTGACGGAGGCGTCGTAGATGACATTATTATCGTTGGTGTGTTCACCCCCGGCTCCAAAGTCAGGTAGTTTTTCTCCGCTTTAATGTTCTCCATTGACGGCGGCTTTGGGTCTGTCCCGAAGGATTTCGTTTCCGGCGTCAGGAAGTTCTTTGATTCTTGCCGCTCTGACGAGCTTCTTTGGGCTTCTAAGTGTTCTCTGAAATTAATAATTTTTTTAGTTGTTTTTTATTTATTTGAATTTTATTTTGGGATTAATTTTCAAAGAAAAAAATTTAATTGATTTAATCTTGAATTAAAACTCACTTTTATTCAATTTAACATTAAAAAAAACTTCAAATTGAATTCTTTATTTTTTTTTAATAAAAATAAAAAATTTTTATCGGTTAAAAATTAAAAATCAACGTTCTAATTAGCAAATTGTCTGACTCAATTTTAGAAAATCTTCCATTTGTACGAAAATAAAATTAGTTCAACATTTATTATCACTTTAGAAAACCATTTAATACTTATTAAAGGTATAAATTTTAGTTTGGATCATTTAAATAATTTATAATTGAACTATTACTATACATCAAAATGTTAAAAAATCACTCTCTAAAAAATAAAGAGTTATACCAATTGCTAATTAGATCGTCAAAATGCTTATTTAGAGATTGTGAAATTAATGTAAATTTTTTTTAGTTCAATATTAAAAATTTTAAATATTTTTTTTTTAGTTTTTACAAGTAGAATTTTTTTATAATTTCTCTCTATAATTATATATTTGTTTTAAAATTCTAAAAATGGCCATACAAAATTTCATATTATTTAATTGAATGTTGTAATGTTAATAATGTTAATAATTTATGATTTTTAACTTTTTACTTCAACATTTATCCACAAGATTTTAAAATAAAATAATCTTTATAAAAATTTGGTCTAATGTTTCAAAGTTCAATTATTAAAAAATATAATTCCTATTTACATAATTAAACTTGAGATAAATTAATTAAAGCAATTATGAGTAATTTAGCATTTTAAACTTGTTTTATTTAAATAAAATTTTATTTTAATTATCATAAATAATATTAATTTAAAAATTTATTCTCAGAAAGTAAAATTTAAAATATTAAGTAGAAATATCAATATTTAGTCAGACATGAATATTATTTTATTTTATAATAAAAAAAATTAAATTATTAAGTAGTAAAATCTGTCTTTAGTCAGACAAATATTTAAATTAAAAATTTTTTTTTAAATTTTTAAAGTAAAAAATGAAAATAAAAAACAGATTTTTTTTCAAAAGAAAATTTTTCTCTTGCTAAGTATCTTCATTTATCTCTGACGTTGATTAAACAAAAAAAACCAAACCAACCTAACAGCAGCAGAAGCAGAGCTGTCAGTGCTAGAAGCACTGGGCCTCTGATCCATCCGATAGTACTTGGTTGGTGTAATAGCTCCGGCATCAAGGGAAATCTGAGATTGCTGTGATTGTTTGCGCTTGTGATGACGACACTGATGCTTGCGTTCCCCAGCCGGACCGCCGACAACACTATCCCGCCTCGTTCTCGCGCTTTCCCCGGAGCCTCTCCGCGAGTATTTCGACTCGCTGGATCCTGGACGGTCCAAATTGAATTAATTAGTTAATTAATTAGTCAATTAAAATGAAACAGATCAAAATTAAATCAATGAAAAAACGCACCTCGGCGTCCAGTCGGAGTCGGAGAAATGACAGTAGGTTGCTGAGGCTGCTCTTTCTTGTTCCAAAGTTTGGCGAAGTCATTTTTGAGATCACTTATAGCCGAGTCTCTCCTGGACTTGCTGGTGACCGAGCTTTTGATTCCGCTGTCGACAGAGCTTTCGCGGCGCTTTCTCATACTCGCGGCGTGCCCATCGGTCGTTTGCTGACGGGACCAGGGCAAGGATTTCGCGATGTCTGCCAGGGTTTCTCGCCGACAGAGCTTGTTGCCGGATTTGTTCTTGTTCGAGTTCCCTCCGCTGCTCCAGTCTCGCAAAATGTCCGCAAGACTCGAGCGCCGGCGACGACCATGATGCGTCGGAGAACATTCTTGGGTTTCGTTTGGCGGAGATAGCGGCGCTCCGATTTGGGCTGCTGAGTCTCTTCTTCCTGTTCCTTGCATTAGATTTTTTTAATTTTTATCATTTTTATATCATACATTAAATTTTTTTTAAATATTTAAAGTTGGATTTATTATTGAGTAAAAATTACAATAAATCTAATGTAATATTTTGATGTAATAAGAAATGAATTTTTGAACTTAAGTTTTGGATAAAAAATTCAAAATTTGAGTAAATAATTTTTTTTTCATAGAAAATCAAATTTTCTACAAAAAGAATCTTTTGATTTTTTTATTTTTACTAAAGCTTGTTAGAAATTCAAATTTTTTTATAAAATTTCAAACAAATTTCAAGATATTTTAGCAATAATAAAGAATTTTGTACTATATATTTTGTAAAAATTACAATAAATCCAAAATAATATTTCGGCGTGATAAAAAATAATTTTTTAAACTTTTAATTTCAAATTATGGATAAAATATTGAAGGTATAAAAAAATGATCAAAGTCTTTTCGAAAAAAAACTTAATTTCCTACAAAAACAGTCTCTTATGATTTTTTTTTTCTATCTCTTATAGTTTACTAGCAATTTAAATTTTTTATTGAAATTCTTTGCAATAATTGGTAGTACTTTTAAACATTAGTATAAGAATATTATATTCGATGTTAAGTACAATGTTAGTTACAGGACATCTTGCTAAACTTTGTAAATATATAAATATGTATTTACTCTATGTATAATTCTATTAACCCTGTTAATGGCGCAAGCTGTTGGGTTTGTTTTTTTTTTCAATAAAATTAGTAAATAAATCTACAAGAACATATTGGCATCCTAAAGAACAAACTTTTCTTCTAAATTAATTCCAACCGAGCACTAAAAATGACTCAGATTATTGCCAAAAGTTTTCCGTACTCCCTCGAGACTCTCTTAAATTCAAGTCACGTCGCGACCCGGCTAAAATTAATCCAATTAAATCGGAAATTCATTGTTCATTTATCACAAAAAATTGCGAGTGTCAAACCCAGCAATTGACAATCAATAATTAATGTAATTAATGATTCTAATTAACAATTAATAACGAATACTACAATAATGAATTGAAAAAAAAATCAATTAAACTAATTATCGACGCCGTATGAAAAATCAATTGTACAATTATTAATTAACTCCAAAAAAATTAAATTATGTTAATTAATTAATTAAAAAGCGTCAACTAAAACTTACCTAGTCGATGCTTCAAAGTCAATTCCTCGACCTGTTCGCGCATAAGATCATCCCAGCCATTTCCTCCCTGCCACACTAAGCCGACTTGATGGCTCAGTATCGGAAGGTTACACACGAAACAGATGGCCGTCATTGTCCTGGAAAAGTCCCGGATAAATGAATAGTGTCCTCTGTCCCTAGCGCTAGATTATAAAACTCAAACTCAAATTAATATTCTGATTCAAACTTTAACAAAACTTATCAATTTATTTTTTTTTATTATTTAATATTATTAAATTACCTAATTTAAACATTTACAAAAAATAAACAGTGCTGGTTTAATAAACGAGACAAAGATGTGCGCCGATAAATTTAATTTTGGTGACAAGGATTTGACATGACATGCTCAGCTGATTTTAATTACATAATTACACGGAAAAAAGAGAAGTGGAAAAGTTATTTTTTGTTTATTTATTTTATAATAAGTAAAATATTTATTTTAACAGTTAAATTATGATATTTATTATTTAAATGTTGCTATTAAATAATTTCACGGAAAAAAAGAGGAAAACTTAGAGTTTTTAGAGTGAAAAGAGGTTCCTCGTAGAAAAAACTGCAAGTATTACACTTAAAACTGTAATTATTGAGAGTACATCTTGTAATAATGCAATGACAATTGGAAATACCTAATTTTACAACTTCAAATGTATTTTTAGCTGGATGAAAGTTTAAACTAGAAGTTAATTATTATTTTTAAAATTATTTATTGATAATTTAATAGTTAATACCTTAAACTTTAGAAATTTCGATTTATCGGTGTATTTTTTAGTTTTGTCAGAATAAATGTATTCTTAATTGAAAGAATAACATTTAAAGTGTTAGCTACTAACTATCGGTAATAATAAATATCCTGTGAATTATAACAGCTGAACCTGTAATTCGAGAAACTCTCAAGCTCAGTTATCGAAATTAAAATAATTAATACCAACAAATTACAGTGTGAGATATTAAATGTAAAAACGAAATTTATAAGTTTAAATCTTTTAATATTACAAACTGTCACAGGTTTTAAATGAAACTTTCATAGTTGCTGTCTCAGAAATAATATAATTTTTACAGATTCTCTAGAGGGCCTTGGTATTAAAATCTCTAAAAAATCCTAGTTAAAAATTGAAATTTTCCCGTTAATTTTGTACAAAATTACATAGTCTAAAAATCAGTTTATTATATATTTAATAATAATAAAATTAAAATACAAAAAAATTAATTAAATTTTTTCCACAATTCTTTTTTTCTACATTTTTAGTAAACAAATTTTTGGCATGCTTCAAGGAGAACATTTTAACAATTAAATTAATTACTTAGCGCTAACTATTGAATAAATATTTCAATTGTTATAAACTGGACAATTTTTTGGATAATTAATTTTATCTGTCAAAAAATTGCCGATCAAAGTCGAGCCGAAGTATTCGAAGTATTTCGCCCGGCTAAAGAAAATTCTCAAATAAAAAATTATTAATTAGCCTTGTAATTGCAATTAATAATTAAGAAACCAGAAAAGAGATTAGTACAGATGATAATTTTTAAAAATGAAGAGTAATAATAATAATAATTAAAGAATAATTAAACGAGACGCAGCGTCATTCCAAGCGGATGCAGATAAACTCTGTAGAATTGATGTTAAGAAGAGATTTAGATTAAAGATTGGTCAATATAAAATATAAATATCAATCAGCATGTGTATAAATCATGTTTTGTTGCTTAGAACAATAACTGCTTGCTAGTAATTATTATTGCGCTTTAAAATAAACTTTATGTTTAATTTAATTAATTAATTTTAAAAGGTTTCTATGGTCGACCTGTAATGTCGAAGTCTCGGGCTCGGCGTCGACATCGCATGGCAACCACCGGGTCTACCTGTAAAAGACACACATTTTTTTCTTCTAAATATTATATTCCCTCAGTACCTTGCCAGATATTTTATTTTTTATCTTATTCATGCTTCAAATCCACACGCCAAGTCCACTGCAAGATGCATTTTTTGGTTTTTAGTTAATGGAAAATTGTGGGAGGTAATTAATTGTCAAAATTTATGAGGGATTAGGGATGGAATTATTAATTCAGAGGCTTGAGTAATGAGAATGAGAAATGATTTATTAGAGAATATATAAATTGTGGCAGAATAAATTTAACTAATGGGCGTAATAACTGGGTGTGCGAGTCGTTAATGGGCTAGATTAATGCCGAGTATTATTTGTTATTAGTATCTGCGCATGAAATGTTATTTTTTAGCTTTAATTTATTATTTTTTATTAAGTAGCTGTAAGTGAGCAGGTGGTTTTAATAATCTGAGATCTAGCTGAAACCGCTGCAGTTGATTATAGTTCGAGAGTTTAGTTTCTGAGAATTTAATACCCTGATTAGCCTTGTTATATCAAGTTCTTGATAATGATGATATTAAGTGGTAAATAGGTTTTTGGGTTTTATTTTTATAAAATTGTTTTATTTTATTTTTAATATTCTGTCTAAAGAATCAAAAATATGAAAAAATTTATAGAGCTTTTTTGTAGGGAATTTAATTTTCTACAAAAAAAAGCTGTCTTATCATTTTTTCGTACTTTCAATATTCCGGCTAAAATAATTATATTAATTACAATAACAATAAAATTTTTATTTTGTGTTCGAATCAATATTCTGTTAAAAAAATCAAAAATATAAAAAAATTTATAGAGTTTTTGCGTAGGAAATTTAATTAGTATTTAGGCTGTATTCTAAAGTTCTCGATCTCTAGATATATAATTAAAAAATGATCTTGTATTTTGTGAAATATTAACATTTTTTAAAATATAAGCTCATCTCCATATTACACTCATCAAGACCTTTCACTTGAGTACCCACATCAATTTTTCATATATTTTATATATTTATATATATATCATATATATGTATATATATGAAAAATATATCAAAAATGCATGCGGGTACTCAAATGAAAGCTCTTGATGAGTGTAACATCGGAATGAGCTTATATTTTAAAAACGTCAATAATTAGGAAAGTACAGTGCAATTTAACATAATTAATCAACGACCTTGTATCTTGTAAACTATTGACATTTTTAAAGATATAAACTTATCCCGATGTTATACTCATCAAAACCTTTTACTTGAGTACCCACATCAATTTTTCATATATTTTATATATTTATATATATGTATATATGAAAAATATATGAAAATGCATGTGGATACTCAAATGAAAGCTCTTAGTGAGTGTAACATCGGGATGAGCTTATATTTTAAAAAATGTCAATAATTAAGAAAGTACAGTGCAATTTAACAAAAATAATTATTTAATATAATTGCTAGTATTTTATTATTTTTAACAATTTTGATTCTTAAAAATTATAATAATAATTATAATTATGAATACAAAAAAATAAGGTACAAGTAGAAACAATTTAATAAAACACAATTGAAACACAAGCGACCTCGACTAAAAGACATAATTGACAAGAGAGTTTCAACGAAGCAACTAGGTGAACTTCAATACTATAAAGACATTCCAGAACAGAAATTACAGGAGTACACGATAAATTACTTAAAAATCTGACGAATAAGTCTCATCCTAGATTATTATTATTATTATTATTATTATTATTAAGGGGGAACACCACTGTGACAATCGAAAAAAAGAGATGATTTTCAGGAATTTTTTTGACAGGGAAAATAAAGGAATTTGGGAATCGGATTTTTTTATCTTATTAAGGGTACATTAAAGATTATTACCCTAAATTTTTATTAAAAAATATTTAATTATTACAAAGTTATTAACAATCTCGTCGAGCACTGGAGAAGATTTCCCCCTCCATGGTCGGTTCGATAACTCAAAAACGCATCTGAAAATAAAAACCCAAATTGCTTTTTAATCAATAAGGATGTAGTTATAAAAAAAAAGAGTAAGAATAGTGAGAAAATTTTCAATCAGTCGCCATTTTTTTTTTAAATTAAAATTTTCAAAATTCCGTACGTGCGACGATAACTACAACCTTACTGATTAAAAAGCAATTTGGATTTTTATTTTCAAATGATCCGTTTTTGAGTTATCGAATCGACCATGGAGGGGGAAATTTTTTCTAGTGCTCTACAAGATTGTTAATAACTTTGTAATAATTAAATATTTTTTAATAAAAATTTAGCGTAATCGTCTTTAATGTACCCTTAATAAAATAAAAAAAATCCGATCCCCAAATTCCTTTATTTTCTCTGTCAAAAAAATTCCCGAAAATCACCTCTTTTTTTCGATCGTCACAGTGGTGTTCCCCCTTAAGAAAGGAAAAATTAAATTATTAAACATAGTTCTGTTCCAATCAATTATTGAAACAAAACAGTATTAAATAATTAAATTAAATAAAAAAAGAAATATTTTATCAAAAGTTCATAAAGTTTTTCTCGAGTAAACTAAATACAAAACAAAGTTTGTTATTTAATAAACAAATTACTCTTCCCGTTGTTTCGGAATACTCGGTTTATTTGAATCTACAAACGCTTTAATTGACATACCAATTACGCGGTCGCTCAGCTATTCAATTAAATTTAAATTTCATTAGACTCTTTAGATTCTCTTTAAACATCACCCGTCTTTTCTTCATTTACTTTGTATCAATTTTTTTTATTCAATATTGTACAGTAATTTTATTTTTAGAAACTTAAAGAAAATAAATTTAAAGTTTTTTTACTCGATAAAATTAAAAATTCTTTTTTAATTAAAATGAATTTTTTAAACAAAAAACTTGGTCCATTTTTCTTGAAATTACTCACCGCTGAAATACTATTGATTTATTAAGATTTATGTAATTTTGCGGCTCGAAACGGAATAATGCGAGTGGAAAATTATTACAGGGTGAGTGAGTTATAGCATTACTCAACAAAATTGCTGAATATAACTTAGGGTGCCCCGAAAGTCTGTATTTACGATTAAAATAGGTAATCACGTGTGATTAAACGGCTGCTTGCAGTATCAACTACGCTTACGTCACACTTATAAATTATTTAACATTTACTTATCAAAGAAAAGTAAACTTCAATCTAAATTAAAATCTCGTCATTTAAATTCTTAATTTCATCTAAAAATAAATTCTTATTTCACAAGCTTAAAAATAAATCTCAATTATTTTTTAACAACAACTACCTGACTTTCCTGATAAAAAAGCTCTGTAAAAGAACCCTCTGATTTTAATTATTCGATTAAACATTTATGGCTTTGTTCGGGGATCTATTATGAGGATAGAGTCTTTGTAGAATTTAGTAGATTAATTTATTTGAACCAAAGATTAAAAAGTATTAAATTTTTATTTATTCTATTTACTATAAAAATTTAGAATTTTTAAAATTTTTAAATCTGAGATTTTATATTTAGCAAAAAATTCTCAATCTATAGATACATAATTAAGAAATGATCTTGTATCTTGTGAATTATTGACATTTTAAAAGATATAAGCTCATCTAGTCATTACACTCATCAAGACCTTTCATTTGAGTACCCACATCATTTTTTCATATATTTCATATATTTATATATATTATATATATTTATATATGAAAAAATATATCGAGATCAGCTTATGTCTTTAAAAACGTCAATATTTAAGATAGTACAGTTCAATTTAATAAGTCATTATTTATTAAAGCAAAATTTGATTTATTCTATTGTTTTAAATTTTGAGAAAAAAATGATCTTTAAGAATTTTTCTACTCAAATTAAGGCAATAAAATTCTTCAAAATTATTTCATTGATTCAAATGAATTTTTTTCTGCTCAGTAAAAATTTGTTTCATTTTTAAAAAAAAATTTTACTTCAAAAATTTTTGTTTCAATTATTTAACATTTTTTTATGTGAATTCTTTAATATCAACCCAACAAAGTCTTAAAATTCAACTCTAAATTTTTTTCAAAAATTTTTTATTCTAAAAAGTTGATACCAATTGTTCGGAAAAATAAATTCCTTAGGGATTAAATATATAACCACGTGTCAAGCCACAAGACCGTAGAGTGCAAATATACACACTCATCCGACCAAACTTTAATCCCATTATTCAGATTGATACCCGGGATCCATGAACCAGAACCGAATGGAACGAAGTAGAACACTGGAACTGAGTGTGGAGTCAAACAGCTGGGGTTGATTTAAATTCACCGTAAACAGAAGGTCAGCGGTAGGGCAAAGGGTGTGTGGGGTTGTGAGTGATGGTCTGATGGTTTCGAGCGATCATGCGGTTTCAGTATTGATGGTTATACTAACACCTACTTCAATATTACGCACTGCTATTTTGTCATCGACAATGCCTACATATGTATAACGTCTCAATGCCTTCAGTTTACCCAATACTGTATAGTAATACGTATATAGATCTGTTCGACCACAAATACGTTTTGATATGGCTTAATATACAATATATACAATGCATATATAGAGGGATGCTTGTGTGGGTGTTTAATGAACGCTTGTGTAAGTCGCATTGTTCACCGAATCTGCGGTTTTCCGCAGTTAATTACAACAGAAGCCAGATAGCGAAAAAAGTTATCTTCCGTCTAGAGACTAAAAAAGCGAAACAGTGGAACAAAAAACAAATATAGAACAAAATAGCTTGTTTTGTTGTGAGTATTCACAATAGAGTTATCCAAATAGAAGAAAAAAAACTAGGTGAATTTTTTCTGTTCAGCTGATCAAGATTGTTTGTGCGGAAATGCTCACTGGTGATGTTCATCCGGTGGAAATTAATTTTAAATTGAAAATCAGGTTCCGCTTGTTTTTTAGAACTCGTTGATTAGTTTGATATAGGAATAGAACGGGTGTTTTATTTTAGAGACAAATTTAAAGCTTGAAAAAAAATCTATAAATATTTTTTGACTATTTATTT